AAACAATATGTTGGGAATATACCTAAATTCAACAAGTAAAACTTCCATCACAATAGAGCTTCCTGAGAGATGCACTGCAATAATTGTAATAGGAAGGGGTGTACTGCTCCTTTCTATAAGGCACCAACTCAACAGACCACCAAGAAACTAACGCTGGGGTGAGTCAGGTGTGTTAAGGATGTGGGGGAAACAAGACATTTCAAAACGGAGTGCCCAAAGGAAAAGAACAAGAATGTCGGAGGCATGGGAAGGGTCTTGACAATGGGGCATGAGGAAGTGATGAAGGACCTAGCTGTGGTTACCGATACGTTTCTCCTCAATAACTCATATACATGCATACTTTTCGATAGCGGTGCGAAGAGGTGTTTCGTGAGCCACAAGTTTAAACACATACTCAAACAAAAACCTCAATCACTCAATAAAATATTCACAATAGAAATGGCAAATGGAAAAATTGAAAGCACCAAAGACATATACACAGGATGCACCCTAACCCTAAACAATCACTCCTTCCAAATCGACCTAACTCCTATTACAGTGGGAAGATTTGATGTGATCTATGGCATGGATTGGTTAAGCCCTCACCATGGCGATATCATGTGTTACGAAATTGCCATCCGACTTAACTAACCAAATAACAAAACCCTTGTAATCTATGGTGACAAACCTGGCACAAACCGCCGAATCTTCTCCTATATCAAGGCTCAAAAGCACATGCGCAAGAAGTACCACACATTCCTAGCCCATGTTCTTGATGAGATCGGAGAAGTGAAGAACATCAAGGATATTCCAAAAGTCTGAAACGTTCCCGTCGTATTCCCAGAAGACCTTCTCGGAGTACGACGCGTGCGACAAGTCGAGTTCAGAATCGACTTGATTTCTAGAGCCACCCCATAGCCAAATCACTATATCAATTAGTCCAAGAAGAAATGTAGGAATTGTCCGATCAACTGAATGAACTGCTGAGTAAAGGATTAATCATACAAAACTTCTCAAATTGGGGAGCACTAGTCTTCTTCGTAAAGAAGAAAGATGGATCATTCCATATTTCCATTGACTATCGGGAGTTGAACAAACTCACCATCAAGAACCGATATCCCCTACCCCGAATTGATGATTTGTTCGACCACCTTTAGGGATCGAGTTTCTTCTCAAAAATTGATTTAAGGCCGGGGTACTATCAGCTTAGAATCCAGGAGGAAGATATTCCTAAGATGGCATTTAGGACTCGTTACTGCTATTACGAGTTCATTGTGATGCCATTCTGTCACACCCCCAAACCGGAACGGCGGAAACGTTCGGGGGTGAAGGACGTCGTGTATAGTATCACAAGAATTGCATCATAGTAATCAAAGTAAACACAACCATTACATTGAATAATTAAATTATTTACATCCATTCGATACATAATTTGTATGACAACAAAATGTATAACAAAAGTGTAAAAGACGCGACTCTAGAAGCTCCGTCTTCTCAAAACCTGAAGGTGTACGTGTCTATCGGTTCCCTGAGAATACAAGTGGTTTTGAAAGTGTATCAACGTTTAAGTTGGTGAGTTCATAAGAATGTTTTTGTAATGAACAGCTTTCATTAAATCTGTGAAAATGTTTGTATGTTTCTTAAGAAAATCCAATAATTTCTTTAGTAATGTAAAGTAGTCTTAATCTATAAGACCCAAAATGTATGTTCGTTACTGTATTCAGTAGTTGTGTATGAAAGTATTGGTTTGTAAGCCATGTTACCACCACCTGTATTATATTGTATTGTATTGTTTTGTATTAAGACTCTTGTATGAAATCCCTGGATACCACTAGTAGTTATGTATAGTAATGTACTGTATGAAAACCCTGGCTACCACCAGTAATGTATAGTATTGTTCTGCATGAAAACCCTGGCTACCACCAGTATGTATAGTATATTCTGTATAAAAGCCCTGGCTACCACCAATATATATAATATGTTCTGTATGAAAACCCTGGATACCACCAGTATGTATAGTATGTTTTGTATGAAAACATTGGGTACCACCAGTATGTATAGTATGTTTTGTATGAAAACCCTAGTTGCCACCAGTAATGTATAGTAGTTTTATTACGTAGAATAAACCCATGTGTTTGTATTCCATGGAATACTCCAGTTGTAGTGTATGATACTTCTATTAATTAAATAAAACTATTTGAAGAATTGAAATCTTGTAAACAAAAGGTTATTTTATACTGTTGTGAGTTTGGTATAACCATGCTTGATTTGAGTTAGTGACCTCTACGATGTTCTTCAGGCATCAGAACGGTATGATATTTGTCACCCCAAGCATGCCTGGCTAACTGTAGCTAGAAGTTCAGGTGTGAGATTGTTGGTCATGTATAGATATATACACAAATCTCACGCTCTCCCTCCTTGAGACTCTAGTTATATTGTAGTAGGATTTAGTTCTGTACCCCGGAGGATACAATTGAAGTAGTGCCTCAGAACCTAGTATTAACTAGTTTATGTGTAGTGTTGTAGTGTTCCCTTGCACTCGAAATCGTATGTATAACTTGTAGAGTAAAAATAATTACACTTAAATAATTATTTAGTAACGTACTCTTATATTTGGAAAATAGTTTTGTTTATCATAAACTATATCTACCATAGTTTATAGGTGTTCGTTTCTGTATAATTGTTCTCGGAATAGCAAAACTGTGTATTGTATCCCAAACTATACCTATTATAGTTTGCATGTATGTTCTTATCTCTTTTATAGAATTCTGTAAAAGTTCGGTAATGTTCCCAAACTATATCGCCTATAGTTTGATTGTATGTTATGTATATACTGAAAACTTTGCAATTTTAGTTGTATGTTGAAAACTACCCTTATGCTTAGCGTATTGCAAAAGGGATAAAAATATCTAAATATTTTTATAAAATGTCGTGGTTTCTTGGTTTGTATCGATTGCAAAAGTTTTTAAATCCGTTTGAATTCGTTTGCATAAAAACATAAAAATCCTTGTGTTTTACTTTTATTCCCCCTGAAAACATTTAAAACATGAAATATGTAGGGGTATGAACTCACAATTGTTTGTGCACGTGTTGGTTAGCGAGACTGGAAAGATGACCCTCAAGTTGATGTACGCAGAATTAACAGATTCCTAATGATAAATAAACACATAATTGTATTTAAGATTAGCGGAATCATTAATTTAAAGTGTTAGAAACACTTGTTTTTGTGTTAGGAATAGTTACCGAGAGTGATTTAAGTGAAAAGGAAGGGTTTTTGGTCAAATCTCAATCCAAAATCGAGTGCTCGGTCTGATGAGTTTTCGGCCGGAAACTAGTATTCGGCCAAGAACTGGTTTTCAGCCGAAATCAGGTGTTCGGTCTTGCTGGTGTTTTCAGCCCTTTGAAGATATGAAGGTTGTTCTTGGTGTTTTTGAGGAAAAATATGTAGATTTGAAGGTTTCCTCTTGAAGATCTAAGTGTTCTTGGATGATCCTTGGGAGAAAATTATGAGAGTATTCAAGTAGAAAGGGTGAGAAATGATCAAGTTTCGGAGGGAAAACCTTTATAACGGTTGAGTTTTCCGCCAAAGATGGGTTCTCGATAGCTGTTTTCGGCCGAAAACAAGGTGTTGATCGATTTTTGCTGTTTTCGAGGGAGAAACTTCATTTTTCGAGTGCTTTTGGTTCCGAAACTTATATAAATTATATTCATATAATTTAAATGGTTTTCTAACCTTACAAACTTAACGAAATAAATAAAATTCAAAATTTTATTTAACAAAATTGACTATTGTTAATTGGAAAAGTATCGGGTTGTCACATCATCCCCCCATTAGAGGAAATTCCATCCTAAAATTCTTTCTATAGAATACAATCATGGACTAGAAAAAAGATGTGGGTACTTCTATTGCATCTGGTCTTCTAGCTCCCAAGTGAATTCAGGTCTCTGCTTGGCATTCCAGCGAACTTTCATTATTGGTATATGACTTTGTTTCGTTTGTTTGACTTCCCTATCCACGATTTCGATTGGTTCTTCCACGAAGTTACGACTCTGGTTGATCTCGATTTCATCGAGTGGAATCACAAGAGTAACATCGGATAGACACTTTGTAAGATTCGACACGTGGAAGACGAGATGTATGCTGCTAAGCTCTTGAGGTAAACGGATTTGTAAGCTACATGGTTGATCCTAGTGAGGATCTCGAATGGCCCAATGTATCTTGGATTAAGCTTTCTGTTCTTTCCGAAGTGTATCATGCCCTTCCAGGGTGAGACCTTCAACACAATGCAGTCACCAACCTGAAATTCAAAGGGTTTTCGTCTCTTGTCGGCGTAGCTCTTTTGTCTATCCCTCGAGGCTTTTAGTCGTTCTCAGATTCGTATGATATTTTCTGTGGTTTCTCGAATGATTTCCGGACTAGTGAGAATGCTATCAGGGACTTGCCCCTTAGCCAGTTGTTTTTCGCCTACTTCAGCCCATCATAGAGGGGATCTGCACTTACGACCATGGAGGTCTTCGAACGGAGCAGCCTTGATGCTGGTGTGATAGCTGTTGTTATATGAGAACTCGACTATGGGCAAACCATGACTAGGGGTAAACTTTAATTTACTTTATTGCATGTGAATATTGAACAATATTCACCAACACATCTGTGAGTATTTAGTTTATTTATTTATTTACTTTTTTGCTTTCTTTTTATAAGTTTACAATGAATGCAAAATTTACTTATTTGTAATGTTATTTGTACTGTGATTTGTCTAGAAATATTTTACAAATTGGTTCAATTCCTTTAGTTACCTTAATTAGATTCCCGATGCAAAGGTAAACAAAGCAGTTCTAACCAAAGATGCAAATCCACGCAAGGCGGTTCAAGTCAAAATATTCTGTTTTCTTCTCCAATCTTACATAACCTAAATCCAAACTATCAAAAATACCAAAATTACCAACTAAACCAAAACTACCAGCAAAACCAAAACTATCTACAACAATATTACCGGGTTCAACAATCTTACAACACATTTATGCTTTCAGAGGAAAATATGAGTTATAATCCATGTAATCAGTTTTCTCAAAATGTTCCAGAAACTCAATTCCAATCTTCCCAACCCGAGTATTTCCAGTTCCGTGATTCTCAGAATGTAGAATCTGAGAGTTCTAGTGACGATCTGGTTCCCGAAAGAAATGAAGAAGAAACTACCGAGGAGTTGCGACCTGTTCTTGAGAAAAAATGCACCTTTACAAACCGCCAGAAGTCAAAGAAAGGAGTGGAACACGAAGAGTTGGCTTTGGCTAAGGATATGTCGATTGTTCTCAAGATAAACAGCATGGAAACTAACGATGGTTCGATGCATTTTGGGATTGGGTTCTAGAGCATTTTAATGTTCAGATTGGAGGTTCGGATCGGACATGACACCAAGTATACTCAAAATGGAAAGACCTGCAAAAGAAATGTAACGCTTTCAACTGCATCTATAACCGTATGATGAACAGTGTGGCTAGCAAAAGATATGAGGCTGATGTTTTAAAATCCTCACTAAGCGAGAATCAGAGTACTATTAATCAAAAAACCTTTCCTCATCAAAAAGCTTGGGAGTGGTTGAAAGACCACGTGAAATGGGCGTTGGTTACAAAAGCTGGTGAAGACTCCCTGCCTCCTTCTTCAAAATTAACTAAAACATCTTCATCTAACGCCCACACAACATCTTGCGATACACAGTATCCTCCCGGATTCCCCCAACAACAACAACCGTTTAATGTTGAAGACTCACCGCCTCAGAGAAAAAAAAAGGAAAAAAAGTGGCACCAGTATCGTCAACACAAAATGAAATGTTTGATCTTGTCAACGATATTGCCAACATCAACACTACAACCAATACAGAGGCGAAACAGAGACAACTGTACCGGGAACAAAAATTATGCATTTTCAAAGCTAATGAAGCACTGAAAGCTCGATTGTTGGAGCGGGAGATAGAGAACCAAGATATGAAGTATTTTCTACCACCGCATGATCATTTGACTGGAGCTATTTTGAGCACGGTTCTTGAAAGGAAACGACAAATTGCAACTAAATATGGTTGTGAATTGTAGAACACATGAAGTTCAGAATGTCGACATCATTTGACTGAGAATATTTTTCTTTATTATTATTTTTCTTTTTCTTTTTCTTTTTATTAAGATTCTCTTGTTTCACTATATATATATATATATATATATATATATATATATATATGTTTGTTTGTTTCATTTTCTCTCTATCGTTTCTCTCTCTTTCAAAATGAATCCAAACGTTTGCAAAATAGTAATAGGGTAACAACGATAGTTCATCATCTGAGGATGAACTTATCAACAATAATTTATTACCTGCATTATCTCGTATCTCACAACTTCTTCTCCAGAATAATGTTAGCTCAAGTAACAATCAAAGGAGAAACACAATCCAAAGAGATCGTTTAGAGGCTGAATAACTACTGATCCGACATTACTTTATAGATGATTCAACATATGGCCACGATCTATTCCGCAGAAGGTTCCGTATGAGCAAAGGTTTGTTTATGCAACTTGTTGGTGACCTAGAGATGAATTATCCATATTTTCAAAAAACATAGGATGCAACAAATCAGAGAAGTTTCAATGGCCTTCAAAAATGCACCTCAACAATATGTCAATTAGCGAAGGGTTATAACCCAGACTCATTAGATCAGTATCTAAATATGTCAGAAAGAACTTCTCGTAAAGCTCTAGAAAACTTTTGCTATGGTATTATCCAAATGTATAAGGCTGAATATTAACGCCGTCCAACATCCACTGACATTCAAAAAATTTATGAAGCACATGAAGCTAGACATGGATTCCCTGGAATACTTGGTAGCATTGACTGCACACATTGGAATTGGAGGAATTATCCAATAGAATTAAGAGTCCAATACATGAGGGATGACCATCAGTATCCAACAATGATACTAGAAGCAGTGACATCACAAGATTTACGGTTTTGGCATGCATTCTATGGTGTAGCTGGTTCGAACAATGATTTGAACGTCCTCTACCAGTCACCATTGTTTGATGAGAAATATCAAGGAACAGGACCTGATTGCTCATTTGATCTGCATGGTGAACACTACAAGCATGGTTACTATCTTGCCGATGGAATATATCCAACATGGGTTGTATTCGTGAAGGCATATCCACATCCAATAATGGACAAAAAGAAACGGTTCAAGGCAGCATAAGAATCAGCAAGAAAGGACGTAGAACGTGCATTTGGGATCCTTAAAGGACGTTGGGACATATTCAAGATGCCGACACAAGCTATGACAGTGAAGAAAACAAAAAATATAATGTATGCTTGTATTATACTTCACAAAATGATACAGAAAGATGAGGGTTCTGCGATATCTCCTGTGCATCAGCCCAACCCCCCGAATGACGAAGTCGAAGACCCAGAAATCATACATAAATTGCGCAATTATGAAACCCACCACCAACTTCGATCTGATCTTACCGATCACATTGAATATGTCTACATTTCAACTCTGGATAACTCGTTAATTTAAATTATCGTTTTAGGATTTTAATTATTTTATCTTTTTGAAGTGTTTTTTTAATTATCGTGTATTTTTTCTATTTGTAGTGTGGTTTTTTAATTAATGTTATTTTTAATATTATTTTAGATTTTTTTTGTTTTAAGTTAGCAAATATTTATTTTTAAAAAAAATGTTATATTGTATTTTATTTTATATTTTTTTAATTTAATTAAGTAATGTGGAAAGTGGGTTGAGTGGATCGGAAAAGATAGAATTTTCATATGTTGTGGGAAGAGAAAGAATGAGATAAGATAATAGAAAAGAACTATAAGAAAGTGGGTTGAGTGGTTCCTTAAGTGCAAACCTAATTTAAAAAATCATCTTCCATTTTATTTGGTGATGTGGTTCTATAAAGGTCAAATACTTAAATGACATTTTTGTTGTAGCAGTAAAACCAAGAAACTAAGTAATGAAATAAAACCTTTACATTTTTTTTAGTTCTTATCAAAACTGCATACATCGTCAAAATTTATACATTTCATTATAACCAATAAAATAAATAGTTTTGCTTATATAATAATAATAATAATAATAATAATTTTGCTAGCTTACTTTTTATGAAATAGGTTATTGTTTATGATAGATATATCATATATGAAAAGTGTTTATTTTGTGGTTATATACTTTTGTGGTCATATGAGTGTTACTAATTACTGGTGTGAAAAGCGAGGAGGCCATGGCCCCCCAAGGCCTTCATAAGCTTCCGCCATAATGCAATAGTGAATACCGCTAAACAAGAAATCCTTTGGTAGTGAAATGAGTTTATGTCCAGTTGAAGGGAACTAAAAAAGAAGGAAGGGATGGAACGCCAACACAATTCGAGACATGAATTTTATACATTAAAAAGCGTGATCCAAGAAACCCATGATCCGATGTACCTTTCTAAACCCCCAAGCGTGACTATCCAAGGGACATTCCTCGTCTTAGGGATCACCAAATCCAACTTTTACATCTACATCATCTTATTATTATTTTTTAAATTTTCTTTAATTATATCATACTAGCTATCATCATACTTTTTCTTCCAAAGAGCAATGAGTTAATATAACGCAAGCCAGCGATTAATAAAACCCAAAGGACAAAGAAAAGTAGAAAACATTGATCTACGATAGTAAAAACTCACATACATAGTGCTTCTAACATCGCTAATGCACTATCCCTACAACCAAGAATCATTTGCTTCATCAGATTACGGAATCGCACTTCATGAGTTACGTTATTCTAAAATACCGATATCATTAAGATACCCACGGAATAGAAATAGAAAAAAGTACTACTAATTAATATATAATAGTATCAAATCGTACATATAAATAACTTTATAACCTATCAGAAAAATCTTCTATGCCAAGAAGCAAGGACCTACGGTAGATTTTTTTACACGAAAATAATCAAATCATGAGTCACTGTTTAGAACTTACGTTATTTCGTAATATTGATATTTTACATGGTTAAACGGTATAACAAGTTCCACTTGAGGAAGTCAGTTTTCCTCTGCATGGAAGCAAAACAATTTTGAAGTAATCGAGAAATTTGCTTCCTCCTTCCCCTTCATAATCAACCAATGGCGTCATGACACACATTGCAAACGCCGACAACCACCGTGAGTTTCGCCACCTCTATTACGTTCACCAGGCGGGTCCCGTACCCGTTGCCTTCCCTAACTCATTCCCCAGCACCCACACGTGCATGCATGGCCCTCTTTACACTCTTTAACACAAAATCTGCTCACTATCTTAAACACTTGCAAGTCCACGCTCTTACGTTATTGTCGCTTGTAAGTTCACACTCTTATGTTAACGTTATGTCTAAATGATAAATTTCAATTTCATTCATTCTAGCTTTTTTTCTGTTTTATTGAAATCGCAAAATGAACATAATGTGTAAAAATTATATGTGACATCTAATACGCTATAATTTTCTAACAATAACTATATATAATCTAATATTTTCACTATAATCAAAGTTATTTATATATAATTTGAATGTATATGGATAAAATATAAAGTGATTGATTATACTAAATAAATCTTTTATACATCCCAAGGCAAACCAAAGACAGCCAATATTTCTCCACCCAATATAACCACATCACCGTCTCTCACTTTCTTAACAGGAAACACCTTTTTGCACACACTGATTCCTCTTTCCACTTCACACACATCTCCCTTCATCAGCTTCACACACAGCGAAAAAGAATCAGTGTGGTTTGAATGTGGACAGATAGAGGATTCCAGTTGAACCTTTATGAACTTGTATTTTTTTAAGAATGGAAAGAGGATGGAAGCCCAATGTGGAGATTTGTCCACCATGTCCTCGTTGTGGTTCATCCAGTACCAAATTTTGTTACTACAACAATTACAGTTTGACTCAACCAAGATACTTTTGCAAAGGGTGTAGAAGATATTGGACTAAAGGTGGCTCACTCAGAAACATCCCCGTCGGTGGTGGTTGCCGGAAAACTAGACGAGCTAAGTCTATTCGTATCTCTGATATGGTCAACTCACAGAACTTTCATTCCCATGGTGGTGATGGAACGACAGATTATGGAGGTCGTGGTGGCAACATAGAAGATCGTGGCGATGGTATAGGTGGTGGATCGACGATGGTGCAGCCTACAAATATTGATCTCCAACAAGTTTACGCAAATTTTCTAAATCAAAGGCCACAAACTGTTCATCATGAACAAACGCATGATCAAGTTTTGCATAGTGAAGTTGATCCGATGTTGTCATTTGGGTTTCCGAACATCCCGAATATGGAGATGGAGTTTGGTGGGACTAATTATGGATCAAATCTGGAGAGTTTTATAAGAGATGGGAATGGAATGCAGTTTTGTGGGTACAATTCGGTTTTCAGTAATAATGAAGAAGATCAAGAGAAGAACTACTTTGGTGCAAGTGGTATAAGCAGTTGTGGGTTGCCGCCGTTGCCTGGAGAGGAAATGGGGTGGTCGGAGTCAAATATTGGGTTCTCGGAACATGTTTTGAGCTCAACGATTGAACCGGAAGGCCATGTTTCCGGTGAATGTCCTGTGAAGATGTTTGATATACCGCCGAATTCTGATACAATTTTCAGGCCGTGAAATATAGTTAATTAAATGGGGTGTTGTAAAATTTGATTTTTCTGTGTTTTATATCTATTGTATTTTATATTGTAATTAGATGTACCTATTGATTGAAATCGACCGAATATAGAAAAACGTGAGCTGATGGAGAAAAATCTTGGAGAGTTTTTTGGTTGTTTTTTAATATTATTCAATCTTGTGAAGAAAAACGAAGGAAAAGTCTTGATCTAACTTGGCATGGTTAATCTAGGTTTAAAGTGCTAAGTGTTATAGAAATGGTGGCTCTTCAAATAT